CGACTGAGGGGCTCCTGGAGAAATGGGGGGGCCGGCGTCTGTTATTAAGGCGTCAAATAGAACGCTGAGCGGAAGACAGCCTGCCGCGGAATCCCCTAATGAGATCTGCGTCGTGAACCCCGCCCTGGATTCCCGGCTCAAAACTTAAGATGTCAGAACTGGCAAGGACCACTTTCCAGCCGGTCCGCTTCGCGCTGAGAAACCGCAGCTCTCAGAAGAGGTTACTCTGCAGGGCCCTGCACGGCGTGGCCAGGAGCGGGACCCTGGGGCGGCCTCCTGGCTGGAACCAGGTTAGATGGCAGCGGGCGACGCTGACCACCCTGTGAAGTGATTTCATACTTCCCTTGGCCCTGAGCCAGTTCCTGGAAGGTTCTGCCGGCCAGTGAGCCCCGAGAAGCTGTGACAGTCAGCTGCTTCAGGGCAACTTCCTCTGTCCTGTGCTCAAATAAAAGAACCCCTGGAGTTAAACGTTCATTTTTCAGCCTTGCCTAGAAGCCCAGAAAGCTTGCTCTATGCCTATAGCTTCAAAGAAAGTCTGCAAACTGGGTGAACTGGTTTGAATAAAGACAAGCCTGTTCTTGGAAGGTTTGAGTCGGTTTTTTAGTGTTTTTTTTTCTTTTTTTAAGGTTTGTAAATGTGAGCAAGATAAGAACCACCATTTACTACCTTAAGGGAGTTTGACTTGCAGCAGCATCACCTGGAAAGCACTCCAAAGGGCTGAGATTGTGTCTCCTGATATCTGCGGCCTGCTATTTTAGTACTGTTTAGTAGTCCTTCATTCCTGCACATCATGAAAGCACTTTCTCACCCGTTTATTGAGCCTTCAAGTACATTCGATAGGAAAAGTCCTCATCTCGATTTTAAATCTCAGAGTAAGTCTGTAAAGTGACTTGCCCATCACAAAATAAGCGACTGAGCAAGCACCTGAACTCACTCACCCCCATCAAGGTCACCTGCCCAATCCCACACCTTCCCACCCCACTACCTGGCCCAGCCTCCGGCTGGAACCAACTCGCACTCTTGAGTACACTATGAGTCAGTCCCCTGTTAGTGAAAACTCCAAAACGTGTTGGATTTTGGTGGAGTCTTGCTTTGCTTTTGTTTTTTAACTAAGAATGAAAAAATAAAATGTTATCACATATGTAATGTAATTACTGAGAATCTTCTTTGTGCAGGGTCTTAATTCAGTCATTATTGGATTCACATTACTTAACCCCTGTGTTCCACTCAACATTATCTACACATAAAAATATGAAAGAAGGACCAGCAGTTAGCGTAATGGCTATATCGCTGGACTCCCATGTAGTCGATCGTGGTTTGAGTCCCAGACTCGGCGGGTTAAACTCATGCCGGGGGCGTGTGCATGCTTGCCCAAGATCCGTAGAGGATAATGGGGAAGGGATTGTGGCGTGGCCATCCCCCCTGGGGGGTGATTTCTCGCTTTCTGGCTGTCTGTCTCTTGTCTTTCTGGCAAGTACATGCACCCTATAGCAAAAACCTCTAAAAAAAAAAAATACATGTATATGAAAGCAGATCCAAAAGAGTACCTGTTCTACATAATATTTTCCGTTTTGTAACTAAATCATTCAAAAATAGGAAATATGAGTTCTTAGAGATTTCACTTCTGGAGCTTTAAAAAAAAAAAGTCAGATCCTATTACAACATGATTCACTCAATCTTCAACATTTCAGCAAACCCAGGTTTTGAGTACTACAGCATAAAAAAAATCCCAGTATCACAGTAAGAATGGATTCACCAAATCCTCATCGAATATAACAGGACTTGACCAGCATTTCTTTCCCCTCCCCTGCCAGTAATCCACTTATAGAGAATAATAGGATTCTAATGAGGATTAATAAAATTTAATAAGATATAATTAGAGTCATTCATTTCCTCCATCATACACATTAGAAGAGTGCTGTGTTGGATCCAGAAATGTTACTAATTATGTTGAAACTGTTGTATGCGTGTATTGGGGAAGATCACTGCGTTTCTCTTGAAATATTTATGAATTGCACAGGTTGGCATGGTGTTGCCACCAGTGTTACATAAAGTTAATCACAAAAGATAATTTCTACTCATGAGGCACACACCAGGAATACAAGTGGCAAAGTCGTAAATTGGATGCTTGGTAAACCACACGCAGTGTTGTCATCAGTGTTCACCCAAACCAAAGCCTCATACTTGTTCGCTGTTCTGGTTTCTTTTGTACTCACTTTTTTCAACATCCTATTAAGACATGCTGTGTTCAGGGGCTTGAGCCAGAAGGGAAGGTTATGTAAATTTGCAGATTCAATGCTACTGAAATACTGATTTACCAACTGGGAGACTAAAGGAAGCAGAGTTTCCGATGGGTCTCTGCCCATCTGAGAGGTCCTTCCATCCCTCTACTACCTCTTGCCTGTTCACTCTGTTTAGCTCAATCCACAAGACATTGGACTTGTTATTTTACCTTCCTTTCCTATTGGACTGAGAGTCCAATAATTAACTTATTTAATTTTAATTAATTAAACATTTTATCTCTGAGTCTTTAACATGTAGCTCGTGCCAGTTTTTGTTTTGTTTTGTTTTGTTTTTCATGTTTACAATATGCCAGGGAATATTCTAAGGATTTTTTTTTTTCTGTGCAATGCAGTTAACTGACACAAAACCTCTCTGAAGTTGGCATTATTTTCTCCACTTGCCCGTGAGGACACTCAAGCTCAGGGAAGTTAAGTAACTTGCACTTAGCACAACGTGAGTACTTGAGTCAGCTGAGACTTCACCCTCAGCTCAGCCAGCCTGGCACCTGGCTCACCACTGCTGAGCGACCATCTGGTCTCAAATGGAACAGCCTGGTGAAGAACATATGATCAAGAGGAAAAGCTATGAAGAAGCTACTACAGAAATCGGACAGAAGGACTGTGGAGTTACGAGATAAACACCAATCTGGATGCTGGCTCTTCCCAGCTTAAAACCCATCATGCAGAACTCCTTAGCGTTACATCCAGCAAACAGTCTGGCTGCTTCTCGTTAATGAAACAAAAGGCAGAGGCTGGAGAAGAAGGGAATTTATTTCTGCAGTCAGGTTACAGAGAGACAGCAAGCACCACCAAACTATCTCACAACGTTCAGCATCTGCTCAGTGTTTGTAGATAAACACCTGCAAATCATTCCTCACTACTGTCAGTCAGAGTCAGTCATGTTCCTTTGAGCAGTTATCCTGACTCCTGTTTTCCTTTAAATACCTATTCCTGGTTTCTCACCTGACCATTCTTCAAACAGACCTCACCATGACTCAGCACTTAGCTAGACTGTTCTGGTCGCAGTCCCTTCTTGATTTTAAAATGGCCACAGTCCTGCTACATCTTAAGCTGGCCTGCTTCAATGTGCTTTGCCCAGCTCTTCATGATTTGGAATCTGATTGTTCCTTGAACCTCATTTCTACAGGCCTTCCAGTGCCCCCATCCTCTAGTCAACTAATTCTAGTGGCTTTTCAAGAACAATCTACCTCTTCATGCTTATCTCCCTTTCTATGGGTTTTTCTTTCTCTTAGGAGACTTCTTTTCCATTCACTTGATGACCCTTATCCAGTATCTTGACATTTCTCGTAAATATCATCTGAGAGGTCCTTCCGTCCCTCTGCTACCTCCAGCCCATTCATTCTATGTTTATCCTTAGTCCACAAGACACTGGACTTGTTAGTTATTTTACCTTCCTCTCCTGTTAGACTGAAAGTCAAATTTTTTTTTTTGAAAGGTTTTTGCTATAGGGTGCATACGTTCGCCAGAAAGACAGAGACAGACAGACAGACAGAAAGCGAGAAATCACCCCCTGGAGGGATGGTCACGCAGCAATCCCTTCTCCTCCATTCTCCTCTTGGGATCTTGGACACGCATGCGCTCCCGACATGAGTTTAAGCCACCGACCCTGGGACTTGAACTGCGGTCGACTACATGGGAGTCCAGCGACATAGCAATTACACCAACTGCTGGTCCCGAGAGTCCAATAATTATTTAATTTTAATTAAATATTAATTTATCTCTGAGTCCTTAACATAGTGTCTGCTTTAGTCCCTGCAGGCATTCGACTTTGTTTTCTCCCATTTCTTATCGTTCCTGGTCAAAGGCAGAGGAGGACAGGGAAGGTAGAGGACCTGGCTATTGAAATAAAATTAGATAACCTCACAGAGAGATAAGACCTGGACACAGAAAGAAAGAGAAAGAGTAGAAGCCCAACTATTTGAAAGTGAAACCATGACTAGCATAGGGAAGGATGAGGTTTTGAGGCCTGTGGAGGGAGGAAGAATTACAGTTGTCTTGCTGTATAACCTCTAGGCATGAAGAATGGAAATCTCTTCCTCTCATCTCTATCCTTCTTTCTTTCTTTCTTTAGAAATTTTTGCTATAGGGTACGTGTCCTCACCAGAGAGACAGAGGTCTTTTCCTGAAGGGAAAATGGTGTTACAACCTACTTTCTTCATGGGCTTAGAAGAATCAAGCCAGTGTGAATAAATAATGACTTACATCTTCTCCTGTCTTACTGCACAGTTTTACCCAGTTTTATATATATGCAAATAAAAACTTATGGAATTGTATAACCATTATTATATTCGAATATCAGAGCAATTTCATCACCCCAAAAAAGAAACCTTGCACCTAGTTATAATCATTCCCCATTCCTACCTGT